ATACATACATTAACAGCTGTTACACATAATATTATTTCGTGAGGTAAATATTGTTTAATGTAAACGCATCATAATATTATCATTAAGTTGTTGAAGGCACCACATGTATATACAAGTATATCAATAAAGCTGGAATAATAGTTACAAATAACACTCATATGCATTCCAGTAAGGTCACACGCTGAATATTATATTGCGCAGTAACGGAAGTTTTACGTTCTCGGAAGTTAAATAAAAATTATCAATTCGGCGTCATCATAATTCATCGTAAATTCATACGGAATGTGCATATCAGGCGTGCATAGCGTGACAGGCATTTTGAAGTACACTATAAAATAATATTATATTATGTGCTTATGAAATGTTTCTATTTCCCAGCTATTACGATTTCAATACTTAAAGTGTAAAGATTCCTTAGAATTAAAACGTTTGTAGCCCTGACTCCTGAATCCATCAGCATCCATCGAGCAAAGACGGTCAAAAATTAAAGTTTATACGAGCGTAGACTACAGCGATTATTTAACGGAACGAATAAAGTAAATTTCTTCAAAATATGTTTACAAAATATAAAGAACTTTAGTAGCAATATTTCTTTAAATCAATATATACAAAGCCTGACTTGACTTATCGGGTTTTTAACTAATATTACTTACTACGTATTGGTATAATATGAGTGAAATTATTTTTTAAGGATTTCGAATCTTTGATCTGTTAAAACGATATAGTTTGCATATCATTACATTAGCGTACGGCAACGATGTAGGTTAGTATTTATTTAAAAATAATACTCACCCTTACAGTATAAAAATTTTATCGTATTCAAACATACGTAACAACTAGACTAACTACAATTATCATTCATATTGGTACGTACTTTTAGAACTTAGAGCTCGGTAACATATATAACACCACCCACTCAACCTAGTTTACTAGTTGTAGTATGTGTATGTGTGTGTGTGTGTGTTTATGTGTGTGCGCGCGCACGCGTATGTGTACTTAAGGCGTAGACATCCCTCCGTTTTATACTTTTTCGAAATTTCTCTTACACGTCTAAAACATGAAACGGTATATTTGTCTGTACATATACTGTTTTACACTACAAGAACACTCTAGAATTTCAATAAATGCGAAAGTGCAAGTGCCCTTTCAATTCTATTGGATTTAATGCACCAGCTCTCTGTGTATTCATATAATTCAAACGTCTATTTTAACCTATAATGAAAAAAAAAAAATGTTTAGCTGGTCTATTGAGTTCCATATAATATATGTGTAGACTGTAGATAGTGTTTTTCCATTATTGCAATGTTAACCGTAGCGCACTAATACATAAATCATTACAGTGATGTTTGTCGGTATTTCGTTTTAATGCAACTAAACCATCGACCGAGCCTTTATAGTTAATTTCTTGTAAATATAAATTCAGATCAGTAAAAAAAATTATATCAACACTATAAAATCGGTAAATTTTCCCAATTGGTTTAGACTGTTTTAAATGATGTCGTAACATATAAAATTCATCAACCGTAACCACCGCTTATATTTATTATTATTGTTGTTATTAATCTCAATTCCGTATAGGTCTTTATACAATAGTACATAGATCTCATTCAAATTGCTAACTCAAATTCGTTATCTCTTAATTCCTAGAGGATATTTAATTCACTATGACATATTCATTATCCCACTTTACGAAAGTTTAAATGTAGTCAAATTTAATTCCTCTGCATTGCCTGTCATAGTAATTAACCAGAACGGTAATATGATTGTAAAAGTTTAGTTGTCAAAATATTATTTGTCCCTTATATTTGAATAAATATTTATAATTTGAATAATTATTAAATATTGTATTTTATAATTTTACATAATGTAACAACACTATGATAAAATATTATATCCTAATGCCAATTTTTGAATGTTTTTAATTTTATTTTAACGAAAATTGTACCATTTATTAATCGTATGCCTTATGTTTATATATATATATATATATAGATAAAGATTACATATCATATTTAATTTTTACTTTTTTATGTATACATGTCAACAATTAAGTAATGAAAATTGTAATGGGATCACTATAAAAAAATCAAATTTATAAATTACTATTAAATAATAATTATTATAGTATATTTTATATTCATGAGTTTTCGTAAATAATATTGTATCAAAGTATCAAAATTTAAAAATTTAAATAAATAATAATATTATTTATGAATATTATGATACTAAAAGTATCTGTTACATAAAATATAAAGTACAAAGATACCTATCTTATTTTACGTGATATTGTTTTCTTTGAACTTTTAACTAGATCGATAAGTAAGACCGTAGTTATAAAATTATACTACTGAAACAAAATTTTATTATATTTAAATAAATTTTGTTCTGTGTCCTAAAACTATTGTGAATACTAACATGTATTTAAACTCTAAAGTGTAAAAGAAACTATTCTAATTTATTAGCATTTACCAGTAACGGGAAGAAGATAAAAAGTTTAGGAGAATAATAATATATTGCAATTGTTAATAATAAAACATAGTGTACCATATCAAAATAAAACAATGATAAAAAAAGATTTTTATAAATTTTATAATTATTTTTTCAGATTTTTCTTGGAGAATATTATTGATTAATATTTCAATAGTTTAATTTCTCTAGTAAAAAAACAATTTTATTTTTAAGAGTTTTTATGAATTCTTTGAGGTATTTAATCTATCCTATCACCTATATACTAGAATAACCAATCGGTAATTTGATAAAAAATACATATACATTGAAAATAACCAAGTAAATTAAAAACAATATGTTGATGAACCTAATAAGACTAAGATATTCATTAGTTGGGCGTACTCAAACAAGTTTTAATAACTGGTCACAATTCGAAACTATGTTTAAATATTTTGGCACATTATGATAACATCGTAAAATTAACGTATGTACGCTTTTTTCAGATAATAAAACATTCTTAAACACTAATAAATGAGTACCTAGTATTTTATTGATAAGCACTCGATAAATTGATATTATTGTATGTATATTTGGTATAGTTATGTAGCTGATCAGGAAAAAAAATTACAGCATTGGAAATATATGGGTTTAGAAATATTATGAAATATATATTGCACACTTCTTAAATTGCTTAATTTACAATAATTTGTATATCTTAACATTAATAAATTCAATTTAAAACTCGTTTTATGAATATAGAGTTTCTTAGATTTTTTTTTAAAATTATTATGCCATGCATAATATTTTCATATCATTGTATTCAGCAATCATCAATACTGTAAACCGTTGTAACCGATATACAATATTACAGCTTGTAGATTAAGGTACATATTGGGAATAAATTACTATGTTTACCGATAATTTATATATATATAAATAATATCCATGTAATTTAAAATTTATTAATTTCATTAGATATACCTATGTAATACGTTTTAGTGCTATATTGAATTTGTCAATTTATATATTATTGTACTGGTAAACATAATTTTATAATCATTTTAAAGTTTAATATAGTTAGTTTTTAGAGTATTTAATCAAAAGTTAATAAAAACATATGTATAATAAACATATTATTGATAGTATATAAAAATACAATTTTTTAATACCAATCTTGTAAACTTATATTAAATGCTGAATAGTATAGAAATCCGTTTCAAGGCTATAGGATTCAATAAATAAAATTTTACATTATTAAAATAATAACATATTATATTATATTGGTGTATATATTATATGCATTTTATTTTTACATATTATGAAATATTTAAAGGTATTTAGTTTATTCAGTCTGTATTAGTGTAATAATGAAATTATTCACATTTAAAGCGTATTTAAAATTGTCAAAGTTATCATTATACATTTTTGTAATTTCTAATAGTTTTATATAAGTATAGTTAATAATTTTATGGATACCTATCAAAAACACAATTTATTTGAAAATATTAAAAATAATATTTAAGTAGTTATATTTTGAAATATATAAACATCAACGTAGGTGGTTGAACCATTTATAATAATATTTGTTCCTTTAAGTTTAATAATATAAGAATATAAATAAAAGGACTAATAAAAAGGTAAACAAGTTTTTCTCTTAGTATTTAGGTAGATTAATTTTATTTTTGTCGAAAACATTGCATTTGAAAATATCAATGTATGTATAAAACATAATAATTTACGTAAAAATTTTACATCCCACGGATAGTTTTTTTGAATTGTTATAGATAATTTCATTTAAATTTAAATTTAAATGTCTATAAAAATAAATTGTGTTTATATTTTTTAAGATTCTTGGTTTCAGTATACAATATTTATTACGAGTATAAAGAACTTAATAACAAATTTTAAAATAATCATTTAACAGTTAGTGAAACATTTCAAGTATACCAAATTATTTATTTCTAATAAAAAAAAATATCAAAAATCATTTGAGGATTTATATAAATATTTTACAAGTTAGTATAAAGTAAAAACTTTAAATTCAAGCGCTCATAAAAAATTAATGTGACATTCTGCCGAACTTTTTTTTTATTTATCATAAGTACAGAAAAAACAAATTGAATATTTTAATAGTTTTTTAATTCTCAATTATAAAAAAAAAATATTTTTATGAATTTCTAATTTAAAATTTGTTAAATTTTTAAATTTAAAATTTTTTGATAATTTTTTGACTACAAATTTAAGTGTATATTTGAGCATTTTTAGGAGTATAGTAAAGTTAAAAACTTGCTCAAGTGGATTTTAGTGCATTGACTTACGAGTATTAATAATTAAATCTATATTTATACTATATGATTAATTTACTTAATTTATTTTTTCATAGCAAAACTATATTTATTCAACATAGTAAGAAACTTTTAGTATAAGTACATACCTTATACATCATAAATTATAAACAATGGATGCAATACATTATTTTATTGACTTTTATCATTGGTTAGGCGACTGTCGTTTTTTCCAACACAGGGTTAGTTCAAGTTTGGTTCACTTACCCATTTATCGTTTAAGTACCAAGTAACGTTGGACGGTGGACTGGACGGCGGTGACGTGCAGTTGCCTTTCAACGTGTCTCCGATGGTGTAGTGTCGTTTCTCTAGCGACAACACGGGTTGTCCGACAGGTGGGTCTGAAACGTAATAACACACGTCGTACATATTAACGGTGTCTTTGTACAGTCACATTACACGCATATAATAAGATTATAATAGAATAGAATAATAATTGATTGTCTGTGTTGACACACGGGGGAACGTAGCATATTAATTATGATATAATTTATATATCAAATATGGAATCATATCTCAAAATGACCATTAAAGCCTATTTTAGATTATGACGTGTTTACACATAGAAGATTTATATTATACCGGTAGTGGCTATAGTATTTTTTGATAATGATCTGCCGAAAACAATATATTTATCTTTAGATATAAAAATACCTATGGATACCGATGTGATAAATAATATACATATCTTATCGAATATTAATATACTTATTTTTGTATTTTTAACTAAAAATTATAAATATAAACATCTTTAAAACAGTACATTTTGTCTATGATATTTTTTTAAATAGTAAATAATAGATAATTTCAAATTTCTAAAATTAATCGATTTTGACAATAAGCATTTTAGACAAAACCTGTTTAAAAAGAAGTATTTATTTTTAATTTAGGATGAAAAACTTATAAAAGACCTTGTATTGATTTTTAAAATCTTAAGTATTAACAGAAAATATTTTATGAGCTTCTAACTCTAAAATAATTTGTTATTTTCAAAATTTTAATACATTTTTGATATTTTTTACTGAAATATGAAAAACATTTTAAGACCCTTCTAATAATTATTTTGATATATTATTATTATTCATTATTGACGGAAAAAACACTATTTCCAAACAATATATATGTAAAAATACAGTATACTATAGTATAATAATAACATAAAGAATTATAGCTAGAACAAATGTTATATAAATACAATTATTCATAAATATAAGCAAATGATAAACAGAATTATATAATTGTAATTTATGATCAAATAAAAATTGACTTCCTTAGTAATTTTTATGGTAATCAATATGTCAGAATTCGATGACCGTAAACAATTCTTAGAAAAATTATTAATTAAAAAATATTTTTGATTTCTTATATTTTAATATTATTAGTAAAAAGACATAGTGGAGGTAATCACTTATTCTGTCTAATAATTCTAAATTAAAATCGATAATAAATCATTATGATCAGTATCTCAAGGGCATTCAATTTTAAAGTTTAAAGATATAAAACGAAACAAACAATTTTGAGTTGTACAAATTTTATTTTAATATCAAAAAAGAAAACATATTATTCTAATATTGTGTTCTAACAAATACAAAATATAAATTTCTTAGAATATGTGTTTATTAAAATTTGAATGTGTACGAGTAATGAAACCTAGATTTAAAAAGGCTTTGTTTATTATTATTTTAATATGATAATGATGGTTAAAACATAATTTAAAGTCAAAAGTAATAATTAAGTCAACAAATAATTTAACTGACTCTGTATAAATATTATTTATTTAATAAACATAATCAACACCAAATTGTCAAGTATTGAATTTGAGTACTTCACATTTATTAATATTAAGAGTGAAGACATAACCCATTTGAATTACACAAATTATTATATTTTAAGTTTCGTATAAATTAATACAATTATGAATTAAATCTATTTTTTAAATAATTTGACATTATCAGTAAACAATAAATAATATTAGTGTTGAGGGATTGAATATCGATTATAAATAATAAAAGCAATGTTGATGAAAAGTGATCATCCTATGGGGCTCTTAAAGTAATATAGATTAGTTCCGAAAGATAATGTTATAATTTCAGAATCTGAGTTCTATCAGTTAAAAAGGATGTAGACTAAATTAATAATGGATCACAAAACACAAAATGTTTCAATTTAATTACTAACAATTAATAATCGACACTATCAAATACTTTTTCGAAATTTGTAAAAACCGTATCCATTTGAGATCCAGTTGAAAAAAATCTCTATATTTTTGTGTTTAAAAATAGCTTAATTTGTTTTAATAGATTATCATCTAAGAAAACCATGTTAAACATGAGATAATAAAAACTGTTAATGATATTATATAATGTTTTATTCATTTAGTTTTAAAATATTTTTGTCAGTATTGAATTTTTTGAAATAGGACAGTAGTTTGTTACAGAAGAACGTTTGCCTTTCTTAAAGATCAGAGAAATATATACAGTTTTCCAGGTCAAAAGTAATATACGTGATTTTAATGAACGATTAAAAAGAAAAGTTATACAAAATGCAAGAATAAAATAACGTTCTCATAAAAATTTGACCAACAAATTATCAGAGCCCATGTTAGATTTGGTTTTAAGTTAACGAGTTAATCAAAGACATCTTTAAGTGTTATATTAATATAATTAATATGAAATAGGAATTCAATAGTTTGATTGAACAGTGAAAAATTTGATAAAAGTTCTTTGTATGCACTTGAAAAAAAAAATTACCAAAATGATAAACTGTGTATTCCATGTTAACATTATTTGGAAATTTATTTTGAGATTTTTATCTTAGAAAAAATTTAAAAAGTATTTAGGATTATTGTTTATTACTTTTTGTACATTGTTTATGTATTAAGTATAGTCCATGTCCTTTAATTTTTAGATTAATGAAATTAAAATATTTAATATTATATATAATATTTAATTTATACATATAAATTATAAAATATTTCTTTTTCTTAATAATAGATATTAATTCGTAGTTAAACCATACAGAGAAAATATAATGGTTAGATAAGGTAAATGGTGAAATAAATTTATTTTAAATCAGAAAAAATAAAATTATAATAGAGTTTATATTATTTTTTTGATAGGAGCTATCCCAATTAATAGCATCTATTTTAGTAACAATATGTTTATAATTGGCTTAATTCCAGTCAAATATGATTTCAGTGTGGGTTAATTTATTAATACAATGAAAGGGTGATAAATAGTTTATAATAGGCGGAGGATGAAGTAAATCAACACTAACAATAGGTTAACTATTGAATGATACTGTACAAAAATTCAAGTTTGTTATGACTTATTTGAGCAAAATAGTATTCTTATTCAAAACTTAATTAATTTCTTTAAAATTTAATTACAAAAAAAATTTAAAGAAAACAAAATTGAATATTAGGAAGCTGCTGATCATTCATTATTAAAATCGCCTAGGATTAGAAAATCTGAATTATTATAATCAGTTAACATTTTATCAACAATATTAAATTTTACAAAATTACTGATGCGCCAATAAGAAAATATACTGAACTAACAATACATACTTTTTTATAATTTAATTTTTTAAGAGTAAATATAATTTCTAAAATACACATGGATGTATTCAACATTTTAAATTTAATTTGTTATTAACAGCAATAAGGACACCCTCTCCTTTAGAAAAACTACTATTATATTATACCTTATGATCATATATATACAGGTATTATAATTATCAAAACCAAATTCTGAATAAATAATATTTTTATATCCATGTATCAATAAATGCATAAACATTGAAATTAGAATAAGAAATTTGAGCATTTAAAGAATTTCATTTAATATTTAAACCACAAACATTTTAACATTAAATTTTGAGTGTAAAAGGAGGAGGCTTTATAAGTTTTTTGAAGTGGCAATAGTTGAGATACCTTTAAAATATTTGATAGTCATATTTTCATCTTTATTTTTTTAATTATAAAGTTTTTTTGTGTAGATTAGACATGATTTCACATTCCTAAAGTGTACGGTCTGAGTAAGTACGTATATTAGTCAATTTAGGTATTCTACAGAGTTTTATTTGAGCGCGTAGAACTAAAAAAGTATCATTTACATTTAAAAGAGTGATTTTTAGCAGACGACAGTGATAAGGTATCAATTTTCCAAGACGGTAACTTTTGATTATTGGTTTAAGATTTAAATCATTTAATTGTGTCGTATCTGAGATATATACAAGTTTCTCAGAATTATATTTAGGTAAATTAAAAATAATTAAATTGTTAGTTCTTGATTGAAGATCATTAAATTAATTTAATAGTTGAAGCTCTAAAGTTGAAAATGTATTTTTTGTTTAAGTGTGATAAAATCTTAAAATCTTGCTCAAATAAATTCAAACGACATTTTAATTAACTGTTTTCAGTTTTTAACTTTGAGAACTTAGTTTCAATACTATTAAATTTTGTATTAAGTTTGTCGATTTTCTTATTAAAAGATTTTAACGTTTTACCACTTGATTATTAACTGCATTTATTAATTTAGTTTGGGTAGACTTATTTTAATTTATAGAATTTAAAATATTGCTTAATTTGGATTCCATTGTGGGAAAAATTTAAAAGTTATATAATAATATTAAATATTGATATGATTAGCCGAAAGCGATAAGAGAGTGGATACACAGCGCAGCACATAATACGTTTAAATAGTTAAACTATACAACTGTAACTTTATATTTTGAAATGTATTAAGAGTATTTAATTCAAAAAGAAACAAAACATGAAAAAATTGTACGATATCGTATAGAAAAAAATAATGTTAACTACCTATTGGTAAAAAATTCAAGTTTCTTCGGTTATCCGTTTTTGAATTAAAAAAAATGTTTAAATAAAATCGATTTTGTCTGAAAATTGTTTAACATACAAATTTCCGTTTTCTTTAACTTTTTTTCTGTTTATTCTCGATTATTAAGAAAAGTACTAGAAATATTTTACTTTTGATCTCTCAAAATACCAACAAAATATAACCTACAATCAACAACCATCTTCAAAGTTGAAAGTAAAAACATTTAATGGATTAATATGTTAACCAATTTATTTATGTCCTACTATGTTATTCCTGTGATCTTCAAATACCAGTATAATACCATCCTCGATAACCGGGTTATTCATATTACAGTAATAGATTTTTTTACTTTCGACTTCCCAAAGTTCAAACTAGATCCAGAATGCTAACATAAACTAACCACAGAGTTAAAAATATCATTATAAAGTTTTTTATACATATTTCGAATTAGATATTTGTAATAGTTTAACTTCAACGTTTTCAATAAAATTGTTTAATTA